CAGGGCACTAAAGAAAGCAGTTAACAGGAACCGTTAAACGGTCCACAAAGCTATCAAAAGGTTATGATACTTCATCTCTCTCGTCCTTAAGTTTTGCATGCCAGTGTAGTTACCGTAATACCAATTAATGAAATCAATTACCTTGGACAAATCGAGCAAGGAAACTTCCTGTCACCATTATCCACACATCGTGTATATTTGAGATGTTTATCACGATAATAGGAGTAGCTGAAGACTTTTCCACAACGTGCACATGAAAATCCATCGGGGTCTCCGGTGAAGTCCGTCACCACATCTGAAGAAATTCTATAATTGATCCCGAGATCTACTGCTGTCAATTGAGGCGAATCCGCACTCGTATGTACATATGCAGCGTGTTAAGACCTATTATGGCGCAGCTGTTTGACCTCTTAGCTGATGCAGCGCAACGATATTATGTCTCGATCGGGCAGTGTATTAGATGTTTGTGTGGTAGTTCAACGCGCGAAATTGGACATGTAATGAGCTCCTCTCTATGTAGACCCGGGTGGATTACCACACGCCTGCTCGATGTATACGGTAGCTATAGTTAGAATTCTAGCACATCATTCCGCTAATAGAATTAGAGCCGGCTCTATACGAACCCGAGCCATCTGAATGGGGTATTCGGATCGGAGCTTCCATAAAAGGTGTTTCAGGGAAATGGTCACTAGTAGGATTATAATGATTTCTGATAATAAACTGCGAAATACCTGACGATGATTTTGCATCGAGAGAAAGATCCACGGGTTCTTTGGCGGCGGTCTCTGTGGGGGTTGACGGTGATGAGGCCGTCGCTTTGAGAATAATTTCATCTCCACATCTGATGGCACGTTGCACAACATCTCCTTCGACATTGGCGCTTGAGTTGTCCTTACGAATCACACGCCTCCACGAAATCGGCAACTGAAATCGCCCTGTCATGAATTGTGGAAGAGAATTTGGGGCCATCACGCAGACTCTAGACTAACTGGTACTGGTACGCCGTTTTGAGAGTGGCCCCATGACATTAGTTGCAGTCACATATTCACAAATAAAATCCAGAGCTGGTGCACTTGAGGGGGATGGGGTACCATTGTACGGAGCGCAGCATACCTAGCACGCACTCGCCTTCCTTTAGTCAATGACAAGGCTCAGTTCTAAGGGGGAGGAGGAAGAGTGGAATAGGAGAGAGACGTGTAAGCAAGTTCCGATTTCCTTGAAGATCCTCTGCTCTTGGGCCCAGTCTGTTAGCGATGCCTCCCCCTCTGATTACACCAGTGCCTGAAATCCGTTACCGTAGAGGGAGAACACAACTTCACACGCATCTGTATGAGCTTATGAATCGCGACTGGGTGGACTCTACAGAAGATCGAAATCCAAACTTCATTTAGATATCTGCGAAGTGATAAAGAAGATGATGGCTTTAGTTACAAGTGCGTAATTCGTTCGCTCAACTTAGCTACTTCCAGAGAGATGGGAAAAACGAACCTCCAAATGTGATCCTTTCGAGAACCCTTCTTCCTTCGTACAGATGACAACTGCAAACTTCAAGCATCCGAATCGTATTGAAATGAACATCAATCCAGGAACGTGATGTGCAAATTCAGTTATATTGGAAGAAACTAAAATATGTTTGATCAGTGGGTGATCGAATTTTGAGGCTGAACAGAATAGATAGCTGAAGTTATAGTTAGTTAGTCACAATGTAGTTTGAGAATAAGAAGAAACATGGCATTCGGCGCTATGCAACCGTGATCTTGTATCACTATGTCTTCGATCTTTTATGAGAGGCCGTGAGGGTACTGTAACAATTTGAGGATATTGGAGCACCCGTTTGTAAGAGGGTTCGGCTCCATGGGAGGACGGCATGATGTGTATTAATTATGAAATCGTAGCAGATCAGCTCAAATCACCTTAAGTGCCTAGGGTTCTCGTGAAAGAAATTCCACAATTGTGAGCATTGGTACGCGTTGTACATGGTGGCGCCGACAAAATAACAAGGTAACGTAACATGATGATGTGGGAATCTATACATCTGAAAAGGACAAGAGCAGGAAAATACAATCATATCAATGAAGGGTAACAAACGAAGAGCTAGGCTAATTCCAAAATCGGCCGACGTTTGCATAAACAAAGGAGGGAAGTATTCCGGCCATCTCACTCACTGCAGCGCGTTGAAGGTATTCACCCGAACAAGCAGTTCGTAGTTGCGTCATTCTTCGGTCTATGAGCTTCCGCCTTGACAGGCTTTCAGATATTCTAGAACTTACAGCTAGAATGAGCTCAAGTACATATAATGTTGGACATTCCTACGGCGGCCCTGTTATCGTAATATGTGGCCACAATGTAGTAGCAACCTGTACTGATTGTATAATTCAGCATACCAAGCAAGAATGACAACTAGAGGCTGATGGTGTAACTGGGGCCTTTTTACAGGAAGCAGAAGAAGTAACGAGAAAGTCGGACGTCATCCGCTCGCCATTCTTCAGAATTCTTCGGTCCAATGATGTGTAATAGGAATGAGTGGCAGCTTAATGAATGGAGACTGATACGTGCGTTACACTCAGAAGGAGACGGGTGATAGTCCAACTTTATCGAGCTGTCGAAAGACTGTTTCATTTTGCAGCACATGAATCTGTGAGACCTTACAGCTCTCAGAAGAAAGAAAGTAGAGAAAAATCCTCGATTTTTTGGAGTATTCGCCTAGGCAGAGCGATGTTCAGGCATAAGGTACTGCTGCCATGAGTATTGACATGGGGGATCAGAACTCATGGTCAAACAAGAGTGCAACGAAATCCTAGTCCTATGTCTGGCGTCCCTAGGAACAGTCGCTGCTATGCAAGAAAGCAGCCACACAGCTTTATTTCAGAATTTCAAGCCAGGTGAAAAGGCCATTGAAATTCCTTGAAAGAGTAAGGGCTGAGATTAAATTTTATAGGACTGTAAACTATTCGAGTCACAATGACTTGAATTTAAATGAGGTTTGGAATATGAAATGCTGGGAAAGCAAGTTTTGACCCTTTCGAAGAGCTACTTAATAGGGATAAAGTGAACCGCACAATGGTTGGTTTAACATTCAAGGTAAACTTAAATTGAATTTGAAAAATATTAACTAGATGGTCTGTGATCTATATGTATTTGTGCTTCATAATATTGGAACAGAAAAATATTATCAAATGACCTTCCATGGCAAACCTGAAAAATCAATAGGTTTCAGTTTAATCACAGCCTCTGGTTCCCGTAGAGCTCTGTCGTTAACAGCCACTGCTAATTCAGCAGGTGGAGTCGATACAGTGAAAGAGTTACCTAAACGTGCTTGCTTACTCAGGTGAAAATAGAAAATTGTTTGTACGAGTGTCGAAGAAAGTACCGAAATTGACGGGCTCCTTCGGAAACATTAGGTGCCCCCATAATGGGAATGCAGCAAAACTATCGACGTTAGGCTGGAAGAAGTTCATTCCAGACGGTACTGGGAATATTCTTTGAACAGTGTGAGAATATAGTTGTTGCAGAAATGAACAACCTCTGAAACGGATGTCTAGGCTACCGTATCCCTAAGGGGGCGGGGCATATGGAGAGAGTCGCAGCGGCGAAAACGGCATTCTGGGCTGCGATCCTTGTGCTATTACCAATAGTGCCGCAGTCTACTAATTCAGTCATTCACCACTTTAACTTTTTGACTAATGTGGGCTCGCAGGTTTACCTACAGTAGTCAATGGGTACCACTCCAATTTCAAATATTTTTGGGACAATGGCATCCAGTTGACGGTCGAATTGTGTGCAAAAAGACTTTTATAATCTTCGCTATGGGAACAATCTATAGCAAATCAAAGCCAGTTACCTTGGATAGGTTGTCAAAGTAAATCTTAGCGCAAATTAGCGGACATGGGATGCAGTTCTGAAAAAGGCAGTTTGAAGAACAGCCTTATTATTTGCTTTGCAAATATGGTTTTTTGAAAATACGTATTTTGATGGGAACATATTTGATAATCTGGATTTCGAAGATTTTCGTCTGGAGGGAGATGGTAACGACAATGGAGGCCGCTGGTGTGCGAACTGTCCGTGCTTCAAATCCTAGGCCAACTCCCGTAAATTCTACAGATCACCAGGCGTTGCTGGGAGCGGTAGTTGCCACACAAAACGAGCTGATAGCATTATTTTCACGAATTTGTAGTTTAACGGTTATTCTGGGAGCATGTCTATTTGTTTCCAATTTTATAAAGATTGAAGGATTCGTAGAATTCATTGGAAACAGACCACGGATGTGTTTGACTCCGTCTTGAGGATGATCCTTCATTCCAGCTATGTAAAGTATCACAAATGAGTTGGAACTCAATATCGTTATTGAGGTACCCAACTGCCCCTTGTACTGTCGCCTCCTTATGTATCTGCGAAGATAGACAGATCCGTTAAAGTGGGCAGTGATATACAAGCTTTGTTGCTGACCGTTCAGGGTATATTTGCATAAGTTCATGAGAACAGAGTCAGAAATTGCAACTGGCTCCAGAGTTGTTTACGGAGGAAACCGGGTGCTCACCGGTACGCCTATGGCGAAAAAAGCAGAGAAATCCGTCAAGGAACGCGAAAAGGGACCCCTTGTTTGGCCGTTGATCTTCGCTCAAGGACGGGCAGCGGCTAAGACGGCGGACGTATGGACGAGTTTACCGCAACGCGTTTGGTGGCACCATGCCAATCCATGCTCCAGTCGAGTTGCTCCAGTTGTGCCGCTGCTGGCAACGCAGCTCGTCCAAATCACCAACTAAACTAGTGGGCGGATCGCTTTTGGGGCGGAGTGCTTTCGAAGTCCTGCTCAGCAACCAGCGCACCTTTCGTCGTGAAAGCGCCACACCTCGCTTGGCAGCCAAGTAACTGCTTCGTGTGGCGCATATGCTTCCCCGATGCGCTCCCTCTTTATCGTAATCGCTTCTTTAATCTTGAAAAGCATTCGAGTGATGGGACTATCACAA